AGGGTGGACAAGAAGACGGGGGAAATGTGGATGAGCGTAAGCTTTTGCAGTGTGTTCCCTTTTTGTTGAAAAGTGACTGTATATCTATTTAAATGATTATTTTTGCTCTTGTTTTATTGTATTTCAGTGTAGGGGATCAAATCTAGGACCTCTGGCACCTACCCTACCGCTGAGCTACATCCCCAGCCCAAACAGCTCGGAGCTAAAGCTCCTGCTTGGCATGTGCAGGTCCTTAGGTTCGAATCCCTAGCGAAGCAAAATAATGATGATAATGATGACAGAAATAACATATAAACCTTTAAATTGTGATGACACCACCCTCCTGGACTACTCTAAATTGATATCGATGCAGTGACGAGGCCGAGGCAGGAAGGCCTCGCCGGGCAATCTAGGGGACACCTATATACAGTGGGGAAAACACGTGCAGTTTTTGATTCCATCTGTACTTTCGGAGTTTTGCAAATTTGCCCCCGCGCGAGCAGAAATTGTGGCTCGAGGCGGTGGCTGACGGGGTGCGCAGAGCCGCCCTGCAGTACCGAGCGTGGCCACCGAGGGTCAGCAGCTGCCCGCAGCCGCCGGCCCGGCCACAGGTGCCCCGAGGCTCCCTCCGCGCAGGTCCTCGCTGCCATCTGCAGAGAATCGCTTGTCGCCATTTGCCGTCCACTTGCTTCTGTCCCGGGCCATTTCCCACGCAGGGGCCGCCGCGGGGGTCTCCGAGGGCCAAGGCTGTCCGCGGGCTGGGGGGCGCCAGGGGGTGTGGCCGGATTCTGAGAGGGACAAAGGGCCAGCCCGCCCAGGGCCGGCCGGGAGGGGCAGGAAGGCCCGGCTGCTTCCGGGGCTGGGGGTCGGGGGCTGGGGGGCCGGGACGGAGCCGGGGTCGGCCCGGCAGAGGGGAGACAACGGCTCCCGGAGCGCAGATGCGCCGCAGCCTGGTCCGGAAGGGGAGGCATTCAGCCCTTGGCCCAGGGCAGGTGGCCGAGCCTGCCCCCGGGTGCATGGGGCACTGCAGACCGGCGAGAACAGCGGTCACTGAGCCTGGGGGCCCTGACTGTGCCTTTAGTACCGGAAGATGCGAGGGAAGAGGAGTCTTGGGCCGGCCCGGCTCGCATAGTCCTCAGAGTAAACTGGCCACCCTTCCAGGGGCGGGCAGAGTTGGCCTGGCCACCCGGCAGCTCCCTAGCAGGGCGCTCAGGCAGGCTGGTCCAGGCCACGTGCAGCTAGAGGAAGCGAGGACGGAGAGCTGGGCGCTGCCCTGGCTACAGCTAGGGCCAGCCCAGAGGCTGGATGTTTCCAGGCCGGGTCACTCGGTCACCCCCCAGCACCCTGCTGCCAATCCCCGGGCGCTTGCAGAGCCCGCAGTTCACTTACACTGTCCCACCCAGAGAAAGGCCTGCACACATTTTCCCTGAAACCGCAGCCTCAGTGGCATT